CACTGATGAGGAGTGGAATTCTCCGAAACTAGTCTGGCTCACACACACCCCAATGAAAGAATATATTATTCCAAGCTTTTACTTGTTGTTAAATAAATGTTTAAACAACTTTATTTATTTAACATCTATATGTTGACTTCGATTACTAACATTCAAAAAGAATTAATATGGTTAATGAAAAAATCAAAAAAATCTACAAATGCATACCCAAATAAATATATAATCATTATATTATTTACAAATGTTATATAAAGAATGTCATTATATGGAAGTCCTATCTTGATTTTTAAAAACTTTCAATTTAGACGCAATAACTTTTTTTTTACACCTAGAAGAACATTTTAAGCACCCATTGCAACTTAATCAAACTTTTAAGTGTATTTATTTAAAACAGTAAACCTTAATTGTCGTCATAATATGGCAATAAATTACGATTTATTACAAAACTAACTTATTGTATTAACCCTAAGGAAAGTGAGTTCCGTAAGGGAATATCACATTCATAAAGGATAGACATAAAACCCTGATTCAACAGACACTAGATGTCACGAAAATAAACCTCGACAGTCACGCGACACCTGCTCAAACCGAGCGATAAAGCCATACTTCAGAAAGTGACCAGTGTCAAGACATGTTGACAGAACTAAGTATTTTATCTCGGTCTGTAATCCCTGGCATTGAGTCAGCTTCAATGTGAATTTTCAGAGAGCCCCATCCAATTAATCACGTGAACAGTTCACGAGAAACGGACTGACCACGTGAAGTGTTTATTTTGTCTTTTATAAAACAACAAGTATCATTCGCCAAAAAGAAATACTTTAGATATTAGATATGAGCGAAAGAGTATTTTCTGAGGGCATTCGCAACGTTCACAAACTATTCAACTAAGAATTCGGCAATCTAATAATTATTTAAGTATAAATGTATGCATGTATTTTTCCTCTCAAATATCAACAAACTACCTTCTTTAGAGCCCCCTTTGGTTGCTTCCATTGTAAAATTTTATAATGTTTCTTTTATAGGATTGTAAAACTCTCCCGATAGCTCAGCAGCAAGCTTATAAAGCTAGAATTCGAGCTTGGATCCTCCTTAATTGATGACATCTACCTCTTTCTTTTTACAACTACATATTAATAAATAACTTCCCACTTGTAAGCTAACAATACATAATGCTAACCAATGACTCCTTACTACAGACACAGTAACACAAACACTTATACTATTTACTCATAATGCTAACCAATGACTCCCTACAACAGACACAGTAACACAAACACTGATACTATTTACTCATAATGCTAACCAACGACTCCTTACTACAGACACAGTAACATAAACACTGATACTATTTAGTCATAATGTTAACCAACGACTCCTTAGTACAGATACAGTAACACAAACACTGATACTATTCACTCATAATGCTAACCAATGACTTCTCACCAGAGACCAAGTAATGCACATTACTGACTTGCAACATATGACCTAATAACATGACTATGTACAATGGCATCCAATGCCTACACATTAGAGACCTCAAAATGAAGCTAACATACTGATTTTGTACTGAAAAACTACCAACATAACTACATAAAATGCTACTACTAGTAACCCTATAACCACATAACAATTTGAAGAATCATTGTACTTGTTGACTATCAGAGATCTAAAAACTAACCCAAATACACTGTGAACAACTGTATATTTAACAAAGAAATTTCGTACACACACACACACATATACATATAACCCAACTGTTAGTGTACTGGACCATGGATTTGTGGGGCCACTGTTTGCACCACTTACACACACACAGAAAAAAAAAGGAGTAATATTTGGTCATACATAAGTTGGAGATGCACAAAGTTGACTAGCTGCTTTACCTCTAGCCTATCAGTCCAAAATTAGGGACAGTTAGTGCAGATAAACCTCGAGTAGCTTTGCACAAATATCAGAAAACAAACAAACACATACATATATATATATATATATATATATATATATATATATATATATACTACTACTTACTTACTACTACTAGTACTACTACTAACTAATTACGTTACTTAACTACTAATTTAATTTTATTACGTAACGTAAGTAACTACCTAA